TTCCAAATCTCCCAAATTCCAAATCTCCCCAATTCCCAATCTCCCAAATTTCCAATCTCCCCAATTCCCAATCTTCCCAATTCCCAATCTCCCCAATTTCCAATCTCTCAAATTCCTAAATCTCAAAAATTCCAAAATCCTCAAATGTCCCTAAATCCTCAAACCCTAAATCCCAGAACCCCAAAATCCCCAAGTCCCGAAACACCTACATCCCCAAATCCCCAAATTCCCAAATCCCCACATCCCCTAATCCTAAAATTCCCAAATCTCCAAAATTCCCAAATCTGCAAATCCTCTAATCCCCAAACCCCAAATCCCCGGAACCCCAAAATCCCCAAGTCCCGAAACACCTACATCCCCCATCCCCTAATCCCAAAATCCCCAAAACACCGAAATATCAATAAATTTTGACAGTCGAGGTCTCCATTACTCGAACACTTTACGAGGGACGTGGAAATTGGATTATCGAACCACGAATACGACCGAGGGACAGACGGCTCGAAATCCAACGACTGGTTGTCCGCGCGCGTGTCCACCTTCCTCTTCGTTCTTGTACAAAGAACGCTCATTCGCATTATTGCAGAAAATAATGCGTCCCGCCCTGACCATGAGGCGCACGAGTAGAATTGCACGAGTAGGGTGTGCACGCAGCCGTGATGCACATTAATAGGTGCACACACGCGACCGTTACCCTTGTGAACAACACACTCACACACGCGTGCACGTGTGTTCGCTTGCAACAGAGAGACCGTTCACTAACACGCGACGAAGGGTTCCCACAATCGGTACACAATCGGACTACGAACGGGCGACATACACGGTGAACGTGGAAAAAAATCATTTCTATGGGGACACATGTGTGCAGATATATGGGTGATTTAGGGGAAAAGTACATAATAGTCATTTATATAATAATTATAACAGTATATGTTATTGTAAATTATCTGATACGTTTGATTGTTGTATCTGACATTTAATACATGTTGTATCTGTGATTTGTTAGATTCGTTGAGTGTTTGGGATTAAAAGGTGCTTGTATTGTATGAAGTGGATATATGGTAATTTGAAATGTAGAAACGAGGTCAAAAAGGTGCATGAACCTGGATACATGTAGCGAGTACGCGACTGAAGTGGAACGAGCGAAATGTGAAATAACATGAAATAAATGAATTGGTCGGTTTTATTAGGCTTGTTTTCGTAATAGCAAATTAGAGTTAGACCTTGTGTTTTTTATTTGCAAGTCTAATTGTCTGACTGCTTAAACAGTACCGGAGAAAATTTTCGCTTGAATAATCAGATAGTGAGACTGTGACAATAGTGAGACAAAGGACAGTCAGGTGGTGACATAATAGTGAGGCAATGAGGTACTATAGCGAGGTAGTAGAATAGTACAGTATTAGAGTAAAACGATAACACAAAATAGTAAAATGGTGTTATTAGCGAAACGGTACTACAGTGATATAATAAAGCAAACTAATAATGTAGCAGAAGTATAGTAAAACAGTAGGACACTACGAAAAAATATCAAATACATTAGTAAAATAGTAACATAAAATAATAAAATTATAGTGTAATAAATACTACTAGCAGTAATTTCATTGATCCTCCAGCCCCAAAATACTGAAGCCAAATTAACAATGAGATTCCTAGCATCACCCATATTTGGACGAATCATAAGTAATAAAACATCAGAACTACAGAGTAGTATTTATACCCGTAGTAGTATTTATACGGTGTAGTATTTATCCCCAAATGCTTCGGTAGTGGTGTACTCATTATAAACGAACGGTAGCCGGGAAACAGTATAATTTCTCGGTTGAAATCCCTGCGAAAACTATGCGCGTACACAGTCGGTTAAAAGGGTGTTGCGAGAAGAGGAATTCCTGGCGTGTCATTACGGGGTTATGCGAGGAATTCGTATGACGAAAAAGCGTGAGGACGTGGAAACGGGCTCGATGCTTTTCTTCCGCGTCACCCTGTATGCACAGGTACGGTAGTGCACACGTGTGTACAGTCTGTTACGCACACGCACGTAATGCCTTACGCACACCGAGTAACCGTAAACCTCCAGTCTTTCAGTTCATGTCGAGACCGCGTGCAGTGTGGACTCTCGTGTTTTTCGAAATCCCACCGCTCGAGCGTCGTTCTTCAACATCGACGTCTTCCTCCACGTCGCTCGGTGCTGTTCGCTATCAGCCTCGAACAGACACGCACCTCTCGATAATGCTGGCGTACATCGTCGGATTCTTCTACTTCTACGCGGAATTGCTACGACTAGAGATACAGATGGTTCTGCAGCCGGAAGAATTGAAACTCTCGAAGTTCATGCTGTGAAAGTGAAGAGATTTACTCGAAGAGGATCCTCCACGCTTTTTCGCGCGTTCAAGGCGAAATCCCCGTTTTCCGCTGCAATCGATACTGATTTGCATAAAGCTCGACAAAATTTTAATTAACACGGAACGTTTCCGCGTGGAAATATCGGCCGCAACAATGGAACCGATAATGAACGATTCCCGTTACCCGCTGAAAACGAGCAGAGAAGCCGAGTTCCGATAACGCGTTGCCACACGGGTTGCGAAACATGCAACAACGATCAAGGAAGTTTTGTCAGTTTGACGCAACAGATCCTTCGACCTGTTCCGAAATTTCGAAATAATTTTGATCGCGAAAGGGAGAGCACAAAGGTTGAAAAGCGCGAGGATATTCATGAGTAGAAGTTGCTACGTCCGGTAGCCGGAACGGAAAAAAAACCAGCTCGCGAAACCGGGCGCATCCGCAGATACGTGTAGAAGTGAAAGTGCATTTTGCAAGATGACTGTAACGCCGGATAATGGCGAGTGCAGCCGTCATCGACGCCCCAGTGTGTTCTTAGCCATCGTCGAGGGCAACGGCGTCCCCTATTCGTACTCTTACTCGTAACGCGATGTCTCGACTCTCCACGAAAAAACGACGACCACTTGCAAGCGTGATTAATCGAATTAACGTTAGGTGTAAGCTCAGTGACCCCGCGACCGGGCTCGTCATCAGTCTCCATTAATTATTCATGACTCTGACTTTTCTCCTTCGCTGAAAGAAACATCGTAGTCGTTGGTTATGCGCGTGCCTCGCTCAAGGTCATTAAAGTTACCCCACGAAGAGGAAGAGGAAGTCGAAGGGTCAGGA